TAAAAAAATTTTAATAGTAAACCCTAATATTATACAAACTTTAAACTTTAATTAATTAAAAGTTTTTTAATAATTTTCAAATTTTTTCTTAACAAAGTTAATAAAGTAGATCTTTAAAAATATATTTTACTTAGAAAGAATATTGTTAAAATTAATATTTAAGATTTTATTAAAAAATTAGAATTTAAAAAAATAAACACAGACAAATTTGCCTGTATTACAATTTAAGGGATAGTATTTTATTTAAAAAAAAAGAATATTATTGGCAATTATTAGCAGGAGATATAAGATAGACAATAGATTTCTAGATAGTTTTAGTTGTAGTTTAATAAAGTCTTATATTATTTGATCAAGTAATTATGCTTTTATGGTAGTTTAAACTATTATAGTATTTTATTTAAAAAAACAAGAATTAAAAAAAAAAATATTATTAACAATTATTATCAGAAGATATACTAAGTTAAAATGAATATTATGTAGAAATAGTCAAAATAAATAAATATAAATAAGTATAAATATTAAAATAATATACCGTAGTGTATTGACTAAAGTATTCCAGATCTAATGCAATATAACTAAAAAAAAATTATAAAATACCTGTAAGTCTCTTGATTAGTAACAGGTATCTTGCTAAGAGAGGTCTTTTGCTAAGGGGTATTTTGTATAAGGGTATTATATATGACATATTTTAAGTAATACAAGTCAATATAAAAAAAAATCAATGAACTTCATATACATATGTATGTACATCTTTCCTTAAATTTCTTTAACTACTAGAACAAAGTAAAAAAATATTAAAATATTACCACTAGTGACCCTTGGGTCCAAATTAAAAAAAAAATAAATAAATAAATAAAACAAATAAAAAAAAAGCATATAAAAAAAATAAAAAACTACTAAAATTAAAGTATTTTTGCAAAAGAAGCAATATATTAGCAGAGGCTCTCTGCAGTAACTCTACTACTAGCAATTACTGATAAACTGAGACCAACTCAACCACTAGACCAACATACAAACTACTGTATATACAAGAAATAAAATGGACTGCAAAAACTTTAAAGCCGATAAACTTGAGTGACAAAAAAGAATAAAAGAGCATAGTCAGTACGCGACAAACTAATAATAATTGCCTACTATAAAAAAGGACATAGTAAATATTTGACTACTAATAAATTTAGGATAGAAAGAAAGCAGCTTATGGATTAGATAAGCAAAAAATCTGACCTTCTCAAAGTTGCATCTTATGTTCAAAAGTTGTTATCTGGGGCCTAGTCGAAATATTTTAAACTTGAAGCCAAAGTAATTGAATGGTTTTGAGAAACTCGATCTTAGCAAAAAACTATAAGCCGGTATATAATTTAAGCCAAAGCTCGCATATTGTGTACTACATCTCGTTATCAAAAAAAATATGGAGGAATACAAAATAATAAATTTTTACAAAAATGGGTAAACAGATTTATATCTAGAAATAATTTGGTAAATCGAAGACAGACTACCATTGCTTAGCATCTTCCTGAGAGTTATATCAAAGATCAAAACAAGTTTTTGTCTCTTGTACTTTTTAAGTGGCATAGATATAACTATCCTTTATCTTTAATCGGTAATATAGATGAAACTGCTGTGTCTTTTAGTATATCAAGTAATACCACAATTGAAGAACGAGATACTAAAACTATATCAATTCTATCAACTGGGTATGAACGTTCGAATTTTACTATTGTTCTCATCTGTATGGCTGATGGTACTAAATTACTACCTCTAATTATCTTTAAATTAATTAAAGTACCTCATGAAAATTTTTTTAATAGTGTTATCATATATGCAAACCCTTCAGGATGGATGAACAAAAATGAGATATTATAGTAGATAAAAACTAGATAATTATAATGTATGCTACGGTTAAGCTAAAGTTTATTTAATTATTTTGCATTTTTAGATGAGTAGAAAATATTTGAACCTGATGAGCACAATATAGAAATAATCTACATTTTTTGTTAACCTTAGATTTGTTTGCTGGCTACAAAATAGACCTTGTAAAATGGTATTTTTTGGAGAAGAATATTAACTTGGCTTTAATTCTTAAATGTTTAACATCTTGCTTACAACCTCTTGATGTCTCTATGAATAGATCTTTTAAATCAAAGATAAAATTTAATAAATAGAAAAGTAAAAAAAATTATTATATTAAAATTTATTTTATTTTTTTTAATAGATATGAAATCTTTATAATCAATAGATGAACGAAAAAATTAAAGAATACACTAAGGCTGGCAAATTGAAACATTCTTCATATCTTTTGGTTACTATATGGGTAAAAGAAGCTTGGAAAGCTGTTGATATTAATATGATCAGGAAGTCTTTTAAATGTTGTAGAATCTCTAATACGATGGATTGAACCGAAGACAATTTAATTTTAGACCTTACAAGACTTACGGCCTGAATAAATTCAGAAAAAGGAATTGAAGAACAGAATGATGATGAAAATAACGGTAATGATAAAAACAACAGTGATAGTAAAAACAATGATGATGGTGAAAATGATTATAAATATGATGGTGAATATATAGATAGAGAAGATATAAATGAAAATAAAAGTGGATTAGTTTATAATAGTTTTTATAAAGAAAGCGAAGAATTAACAACCATTCAAGATTAGAATTAATGAAACAAAAATCTGGAAATTTTAATATAGAATTATAAGCAAATGAAAAAAATATATATAATTTTTTTTGCTTAAATAATCAAATTAAATAAAATTAATTTTGTATCTTTCTATGCTTATATAATTTACTAAATTTATTTTAAAATAATAGAGTAATGACAAAAAAAATTTGTGATGACACGATTACTAACTAAATTACATACTATGTTAAAAGATTATTAGTCAACATAATACGTAATTTGAATTATCAGGTCGAAAATGGCTAGGATCATATTATCGTGAATTTTTTCTACCACCACTTTGTCACCTATTATACGATATTTTCAAACTGTATTTATTATAAAATTTATACAAGATTTGTGAGTTATTCCTTCAATAGGAACTGTTATAATATCAAACATTGATACTTTTGTGTTTTCTGACTGTTCATACTGTTAAGAGTTATTAAAATACTAGAAGTTATTAATAGTATTTATAGTATTCAGTAAGGTTACCATAGTAGGCATTATGCAATATAAAATACTCGAGTTTTATACAAAAATCTTGCCTTCAATAATTATAAAATACTCAGGTATTATTCTTGGCAAAAAAAAAATGCTATGCAAAATACCCGGGTACTTCACATAAAAGTACGAAAAAAGAAGATTACTTTAGTCAGTGCACTATAGTATATATAATTGGCTAAATTTTATTTTTGTCATATAATAATATTTATATTTATATATATATACACATATATATACTTATAATCAGCTAAATTTTATTTGTATTATATAATAATATTTATACATACGTACATATACTATATAGTAGATGATTAACAAAACGGATAGATCTAATTGGCTAGTGTTTACAAACAGACAATAGACTTTAATATAAGAAATAGAATAATAATTGATTTAATTTGCTAATGATAGTGCTGAAATTCAAAATCTATATATGAATATATATAGAAATATTAAATTTTAAAAATTATATTTATAATAGTGCTGAATTTTAAAAAATTATATAATAAATTAATAGCACTGAAATTTTTAAATTGCAAATAAAAAAAACAGAATATATATATATATAAGTATTAAATTTTAGTAAAATATATAATATAAGTGCTAAATTTTAGTAAAATAAAGTGCTAAATTTTTTAAATTTGATATAAAATTAAAAAGTTTTTAAACTAAAATAATTTTTTAATAAAAAGGTTTTTTTAAAAAAGTTCTCTATATTTATATTCTTTAGGTTTTAAAAAGTATTAATATAGAAAGATTTTTTTAAAATTTATTGTTAGTTAAAAAGTTATTGAACTTTTAGAGCAAACAATTATTTTGTGATATAACTAGATATTCTATACCATATAAGTTTTAAGAATATTTAGATAAAAATTTATTTAATAGTTTTTTTATTTATTTTTATTATTATACAAAAATTTATTATTAGTTTATAAACTAGTTACAAAAATAAATATAAAATATATATATATATTTTTTCTTAGGCAATTTGGTTTACTTTATTTAGAAAAAAACTAAAAGTTTTAATATAGATGTTGTCATCTTTAACAGCTATACTATCTCAACCAAAGATAAACCTTATCCAGTTTTATATATGCAAGCTTACGGCGAACTATTAACTACTATATTGTACTTAGATATGATCTGCCATAGCTACACTTGGCCTCCTTTGGAGGTCCAAAACTTGCTTTGAACTTTTTTCTCTAGAATCAACGACTAGCGTATAGCTAGCCTTGTCAGAATTTCTGCCCTACAATAGAGTGCCGCCAATCTGATGACACTTTCTTATAGAGAAGAAAAAGAACAGAAAGATATATAAAAGGGTGGATATATAAAAACAAATATATATACAAAAACAGATACTAATATAAAAAGAAACCAAAAACAAAAACACAAATAAAAGCAAAAGCAACTAAAACCGACACTTGTCTTTTTGTCAGTTCATGTCCGAATTATATTCCTAGCACTATTTCTA